CCTGGAATCAGGCTCCCTCCTCTCTGGTTCTGGGTGCGTCACCCAAGAACTACAGCTGCCAAGTCACCACACCTCAGCAGCTCCTGCATTGAGCGTCTACCCACTGGCGGTCATTGCGCCACCAGGGAGACAGTCACACGGTTGGACGGTCGCTTAGGCTTTCATATATATAGGTCATTATATATCACTAGTGCACATTCTCCGACTGCATGAGAATCTTCTTCAGGGCTACTAACCTCATTTCTTCTTTCCTCCTAGGGGACTATAAGCCATCATCCAGTCCCCTCTCTCTAGAGCAGCAGTTCTCAACCTGTGGGTCGCGACCCCTTTGGCGGTCAAACGACCCTTTCACAGGGGTCGCCTGAGACCATCCTACATATCAGATATTTACATTATGAGTCATAACAGTAGCAACATTACAGTTATGAAGTAGCAATGAAAATAATTTTATGGTTGGGTCACAACATGAGGAACTGCATTTAAAGGGCCAGAAGGTTGAGAACCACTGCTCTAGAGGCTCTGTTCTCCTGCCCCCTCTCCTCATCTTATCCTTTCTTGTGCCCTAAAAAGAAACCCCCTCTATTGCCTCAGAATTCTCCTTCTGACTCTTTTTTCCAAAAAAGCTCCTGTCCTCCTGTCCGCATACAAGCAAGATGTTGTTTTAAAGTTGCTTAAACTCCTTAATTGCCAAATTCAATTAACACATATCCTTATCTTGTTGACCCCTTGGTGGCACTTAATGTCTTGGACCTTTCCTTCCTTGTTGGAATCCTTTCATTCCAGGTTTCCACACACCTGCTCCACAAATGTACCTTCTACCACCTTCACCATTTTTTTTCAGTGAGATTGTAGTTGTTTTATTTATTTATTTACTTAATTTACTTATTTTGCATACTTTCTCAGTTTACAATTAAATGTTGCTCTCCAGAGCTCTGTACTTGGTTCTGTTTCCAAGCTACAAAATTTCTCTGGGAAAACCAATCAATTCCTACAGTTTTAGTTACCACCTAGTCTATTATGATTCCCACATGTAAATCTTTAGCCCTAAACTCCCTGCTGACCTCTAGATCTTATGTTTCTGGTTGTCCCCTGGGTACCTTCTCCATCTATGTGTTACCAAGCTTTCTAAAATCTATTAGATCACTTCTGGGTTCCTTTCTTTTTAGTATTTTACATCTAAGAAGGAAAGTTAACTAAATACTTGGTAGCCAGGGGGGCAGATTATGGGACTCTGATAATGCTGTTTATTTCTGTGCCCCTTCTTTCTGGTTACATGGTGGAAATGTATACCTGCCCCTTTGAAATTAGGTGTGAGATGACTTGTTTTGGCCAGTGATAAATATTGGAGGTGGTGTGTGTCACTTCTAGGCAGAAGCCTTTACAAACTGGCATCCACATAATTTTATTCCCATCTTCCTGTTATGGCAAGTGGCACCACTGCAGAGGAAAGAGGCACCATCAGCTTGTATCCTTATGTGAAGGTGCGGTGCAGCAGATCTCCCACCAACCAAAACTGGACATATAGCATGAGTGAGAAATAAACCTCTATTAAGTTAAGCCTGTGAGATTTTGGAGTTCTTTATTATTGCCATATGGCCCAGCCCGACCTGACTGATTCAAGATCCAAAACCAAATTCATCAATTTTTTTGCTTGCACTTTACCCTATATAATAAAAGCCCAGCAACCGTAACAGTGTAATGACTAGAATGACTGTTCGACCAGTCACTATGAGATGCATTGACCACCTGTTGGTCTCTCCCCCTGGCCCTCAGGCTCCACTCGCAGGATGGCGAATGGGGAACCATGGGGAACCTGGGTGGGTGGTGGTGGGGGGGGCAGGACTGGGGACTGGCGAGCGGGAGGAAGATGGCCCTGATCGCAGGCTAGGCCTAGGGACCCTACCTGCACACAGTCTTGTGCTCTGGGCCTCTAGTTAACAGATAAAAAAATATCAAATCATCTGACCTGACTTTCCCCTATATTCTCTGTTGCCTGATCTCTGAGCCATCACCATCTCTACCCACTTCACCAGGCCAGAAAACATGGGGATATATGTAATCTTCACTTTCATGTCCATCCACATTTTATGATTTGGCTAGTTCTGTAGATTTTATTCCCTAAGTATCCTTCAAATATATTCATTCTTTTTTTAAATCCTCACCTGAGGATATTTTTCCACTATTTGTAGAGAGAGCGGAAGGGAGGGGGAGAGACACACAGAGAGAAACATCAATGTAAGAGAGACACATCGATTGGTTGCCTCCCCCTGCACCCCAACCAGGGCTGGGGATCAGCCTGCAATGGAGGAACATGCCCTTGATCAGAATTGAACCCAGGACCCCTCAGTCCGAGGGCTGACACTTTATCCAATGAGCCAAACCAGATAGGGCTCAAATATGTTCTTTCATGTACAGTCTATCTTTAATATCTATCTTCTCATCTGTTGCCTGAAATATCGCACTGACTTTGTAAATGACCTCCTTGTCTCTATTATCAGCCTTCCTTAAATCCATCTTCCATAGGGCTGCCAGAGTGATTTTCATACAATGCAAGATTTGACCATTCCACTCTCCTGCTTAAAATCTTCACCAGCACTTACAGAATCAAACTGAAATGCTGTGGCATGGCATACTAGGCTCTTAATAGTCCAAGTCCTTTCTCTCTCCTCAGCCACATCTCTGCTCTAGCCATACCTAGCCCTAGAAGCACTGTTCCTTCTCCTCCCTCTCCTGCACGTGCACACATGCACACACACACACACACACACACACACACACAATACTATTTCTTGGCTGAAATTACAACTTCTAGAAATTACAACTTACGTGCCATTTACTCCAGGAAGGCTTTTGTGGTTGTCCCAAATAGACATATCTACAGTATTTCCCCCCTTATGCCACTTCTCTGAGTAAAATGTGCTTTTGTTACTTAATATGGCACTTTTAAAAAACTTTTGCTTATGTGGCTATTGTGATGGCCATAGATAGTGACATATCCTCTCACAGAGAGGGTAGCTATTTTATTTACCATTATATCTGGAAAACACAGTACTTAGTATATTACAGGTACCTCAAAAGATGTTTACAGAACTGAAACAATAGGCCATTTGATCAAATAGCTCAACATTTGTTAATGGCCTATATTTTATTAAATAGCTTAAAATATGTTGAGAGTTTACTATGTGTTAGGCACCATAGTAAGTATTCTATAATTCCAGGGCCATAATTCCAGGGCAATGATATTCAACCCAAGTGCCATGGCATACTGGTGTGCCGCAATAATAAAAAAAGAATGAATATGTTTGAAGGATACTTAGGGAATAAAATCTACAGAACTAGCCAAATCATAAAATGTGGATGGACATGTGGATTACATATACCCCCAGGTTTTCTGGCCTGGTAAAGTGGGTAGAGATGGTGATGGCTCAGAGATCAGGCAACAGAGAATATAGGGGAAAGTCAGGTCAGATGATTTGATGTTTTTTTTATCTGTTAATAGAGTGCAAGATAAAGAGGTCAGTGCCCCTGACTAAATAGGCACTTATCTTTTTATCTTTAGATTGTCAAATTAAAAAAAAAATGACAACAGCCAACACAACAATAGCTATCTGGTGTGAATGAATCAAAATTAGACCTATTTTTTTTTGTTAGATTGGCAAAGAATATATTTATTAATGTGCCATAAAATTTTAGTAGTTCGTGTGCCATGAGATGAAAAAGGTTGAAAATCACTGTTGTAGGGCATTGAGACAGACATTAAGTCCCTATCATTACAGATTTCATTATATGAAGCAAGCCGTATCTCACCTTCCTAATAGGCCTTAGACATTAATGCAGTGGATTATTTTCCTATGAGTAACTGAATGAATAGCAGAGACACTATACTTACATTCAAAGTGTATTTTTTATCTACAACTTTTAAGAGGAAGTCAGCTCTAATATTTAAAACATTTTGAAAAAATATGGCATTTATATCTCATCTTTCCTGTGAAGCACAACACTTATTTATCACATTTAAGGGACCTCTGTAGTGAGGGGTAATTTAAACAAGAGAAACGGGTCACAGAGAAGTTGACTAACCTGCCCCATATCATAACTTTTCAAGATATCATCATTCTCTACGTACTCCGCCCCCACAAAATAATTTTATAATTATCGTTGAGTGATAAACTGCCAAGCAGTGACAGAATTCTACACATAAAAATCAAGAATTGTCTTCAGGGGACTAATCATATGTTGGGAAAAATCACGACATTGTATTATGACTCCAATTTCTGGCCCTCTTGGCTAGAACATTTAAGGTTGTACAATTTATCTCTTCTGAATTTTGTATTATCTTCAAATAATAATAGGCAGATAAACACGGCGTTCCCAGCCCCGGAGAGCCATCTGCGCCCCTCGGATACTCTTTTTATAAGGAGTCCATTCGTTCACGCATCTTGTATTATGCCGGAAAGAGGAGTTAAGGTCATTCCTTTTCATTTATTCGCATCCCATTTTTACAATACGGGGTGCAGAACCAGTTCCATTTGCCAAAGGCCAAAAAGCCCTGAGACTTGGGCGAGTCAAGCATTAATTACCAGCCACTTGGCCCATTTGCAGAAATACACAAAACGTGTAGAATCACTTAATTTTGTCCCCTCCTAATCTTTTCACTTGGAAATTGGCTGCTCGGGCGAATGTTTTTCTCTCCGCAGCCATGTGTGAAGAGCGATTAACACTCGCTCGACAAACCCCTTCCCGGGCCATTTGGGAGCTGCACGCGTTCACACCGGGTTCAGTCCGTTGCGCCTTCACGCGCAGCCTTTTTGTTTACGCGGCGAGCAGGGCAGAGAGGGGCGGAGAGGGAGCGAACCTCTCCCTGTGCAGCAGGCCTCGGGGCGGCTATATAAGCTGCGCCGGGCGCGGGCCCGGTTTGTGCAGGGGCCGGCTTTTCTGCGAGCTGGCTGGGGCCTCCGGCCGGGCCCCGCGGCGCCATGGAGACGGCGGA